TATCAGCCCCTATTGGATAGGAGACTCGTTAAAATTGCTTAAAACACTTTCGCTATTTTTGTTCTTTTCATGTTTTATTTTGAGTAATACAAGAAAAACATTATCAAAATTATTTTTTATTTGTTTTTTTCACGGGATCGTATTAAATTAACGTCAAACTCCAAAATTTGAGAGTCTTGCCAATTTAACATCGAATCCAAATTAAAGTTTTGACATGACTAACTTGTCGCGAACGACCTAATTAACCAATAGTATTTGCATGAAATTAGGGATGGCAATGAGGCGAGGCGGGGCGGGGCGGGGCGGGCGGCGGGGATCGCCATCCCCATCCCTCGCCCCGCCCATAAAAAAACCCATCCCCGCCCCGTGCCTCGTTCGGGGTAAAATTTCATGCCCCATACCCGCCCCAAACGAGGCGGGGAGAGGCGAGTTAGATTGCCATCCCTACATGAAATGTGGAATAAAATCGACCCAACTTGATTCTTTTTTTTTTTTTTAGCATTTTTAATACTAAACAAATATCTCGAACCATTGTTTATCCTTAATAAACAAGAGACTTGTTGGTCCGACACCACAACCAAATCAAACTCCATAAATTAAAATAAATTTCATAATCTAAATATTTTTAAGTTTTTTAGTACAAATAAAATTAACATTATTACAAAACAACATCATAAACTAATAAAAAAACTAAATAGATAGGAGAAACAAACCGAATGTTCATTAAAGAGAGATTAAAAAACCCCTACAATGCTCGTTAGAAAATGACCAAAGTGCCCCAATGATGTCCTACGAAAATGACAAAAATGCCCCTAAGATGTGGCTAGAAAATGGCCCAAATTAAAATAAAGGTATTATATTTTTTTTTGTTGCTAATTAAATTTGATTTTGAATTAATATCGAGTCCTTATTGAATATGGGACTCGTTAAAATTATTTAAAACGTTTTCGTTCTTTTTTACTCTTCTCATGTTTTATTTTGAGTTATATGAGAAAAACATTATCAAAATTATTTTTTATTTTTTTCGCATCATCATATTAAATTAGCACCGGATTTCAAATTTGAGAGTTTCATCAAATTAGTATCGGATCCAACTTAAAGTTTTGACATGACTAACTTGTCGCGAAACGACCTAATTAACCAATAGTATTTGCATGAAATGTTGAATAAAATTGACCCAACTTGAATCATTTTTTTTTTAGCATTTTGAATACTAAACAAACATATCGAACCACCATCCGTTCCAAATAAACAAGAGACTTGTTGGTCCGACACCACAACCGAATCAAACTCCTTACATCAAAACAAACTTCACAATCTAAATATTTTTTAATTTTTCCAATACAAATAAAATTAATATTATTACAAAAAAAAATCATAAACTAATTAAAAAAATAATTAGGTAAGAGAAATAAACTAAATGGTCACTAAAGAGTGACTAAGAAACCCTATGATGTTGCTAGGAAAATGACCAAAATGCCCCCAACGATGCGACTAAAAAATGACAAAAATGCCTCCGGAATGTGGCCAAAAACGGCCAAAATGCCTCAATTTTTTAAAAAATGATAGAATTATCCCTAGTGTTGAAAATGACCAAATTGCCCTTATTCACCATCGGAGGTCGTTATCGCTCGTTCGATCACAAATCAACACGTGGATCATTTTGTTGTGTAGGGGACATCTAGGCAAACCTTCCGGGTCCGAAGGTGATCAAACCAACATCACTCGAGGGAGGAGATCGATAGTTGAAAAGTTTTGATCGATCTATTCCTTCTTTTCGATCAATTTCAATTTGATTTAATGGTTTCTAAGGCTCCAAATTGAACCAAAACAATCCCTAAGACTCGTTGTAGTTTCATTTTGGTCATTGGGCGGTTTGATTTAGTCAAAAAATGAGGAAGAAAATCTATCACAAGTCGCGGGTCGCATGTGTCCGAACTCGTGATTGTTTTCTCCTTCCTTGCCATTTTTTGTCACTTCCATTGATGAAGAAAGGTTGCTTGGAGGATGGGGGTAGCTCGTGTGGTGGTGGTTGTCGTTGATGTCACCGAAAAATGGACTATTTGAGAGGAGTCCGTATTCGGGTCTAAAAGCGGGTTAGGTAACCGAACTTATCTCCTTAATTCGGCCTCCTCCGACGTCCTCTCTTCTTTAATTAATCGAGAATTGTAGATTTGAGGTTGGGCTACTTGTTTAGTGATGATGGTCGAAAGCAATTTTGGCCCGAATATGACTAATTTGAGAGAGGAAATTAGAAGGGTAAACTAGTTAACTCGGGAGTTAATGGGTCCAGATCTTCTCCTTAAGAGTTGTATGACGATTTTTGGGTTTTCTAGGTTTTTCTTCTCTTGAGATCAATGACTCGTAAATTTTTTAAAGAGATGATGAATAATAAACTTTTTACATTTTGTTGCTAGAGGTGATGGGTATTTGTGGTTAGGTTGTTTTGTGATATGTGAATAATAGAGACTAGATTATTTTGGTAGAAGATAGGTGATGTAGGCTAAGTTTTTTTATTAGGTAGAAAGATGAGTGAGAGGCTAGAGGTTTTTTTTTTTTTTTTTTTTTTTTTTTGAGGTAGGGGAATAATTCGGAGGCTTTCTTAAAATTGAGTGAAAGTGAATGTTTATATAGGAACTTTTTAGGGTTTGGGATAAAATCAATTTAAGTCCTTTATTAGATTATTTTTATGAATTTCAATGTATATGCTATTATTTGTCTTCAATTAACTCATTAATTAAAATTTTTTAATCCTTATTTTTTTATTCTAAACTCGATTAATTCTTAATCAAATTCATTGATTTTTATCCATTTTCAATTATATTCATAATTGAATGTCACTTGGTCCTCGTTTTTCATATCATTTTTTATTGGATCCCATATTATAATCTCAATTTTTTTCCGCTATTTTCCTCTTTTTTTCCGCTATTTTCCTTTTTAATTAAAAACAGGGAATAATTATAAGAAATTAAAATCTTAAAAATTTATAAAAATGTCTAAAAATCATGAAAAAGACAAACTATGCAACCTTTTTTTTTTTTTTTTGAATTTTTGAATCTCTCTCTTTTTAAAATTTTTTTTAATATAGTATGAAAATAAATGGGGGTCAAAAAATGAGGTTATTACAGGATATGCGATTAATCTACTTGTATAATAATTTTTGAAAGAAAAAAGAAGCTGAACACCTAACTTGCTCCCAATTTATAGCAACCACGCTCTGCTAAGATAATAAATTACTGGTAATAGACCCCACAATAAACCGATCACAGAAGCTAGTTAAACGAGGCTTATACACAATGTAATCCAGTTTAGCTGATCTTTGCTGCACCCACGTAACGGAAAACTTGCGCTCCTGCCATGCATACACTCACTCGGAGACAAGTGCATGCAGAAAACATATGTTATCCAAAAACAAGCATGCTTCAAATTTCTAGTAATCCTTCCTCGTAGTGAGGGGAACCTCGACCGTTAATAGTCAAATATTTGGAAAAGGAATTGCCCAGCTTAGACTAATTTCCCCTGTTTCAACATTCACACACTAATACCATTCAGCCAAAACACCCCAAAAGAGGAAATCTAATCATTTAGTATCCTTTCATTTAAGTAAGCATAGACTAGTACCTCATCAGAGTCAGTATAAATTGAGAAAATTATAAATCAATACCTTTAGCTTTAAAACATAAATAAATTAGTCTCATTGGTTTCAAAAATAAAATATTTAATCATTTGACCATTAGTATTAATTTATTTTAAAAATATCTTATTTTCCATAATTTGTTTTTGTAATATTTAGTTTTTAAATGAAACAAAACAATTAGAAAAGAGAATAAATGGATAAAAGGATTAAATAATTTGTTTTTCTGAATAAAAGAGATTAATTAATTCTTTTCTCAAAACTAAAAAGGATTAATTTATAATTTACTCGGAAAATGATAAATAAAGAAGGCGATAGCATCACGCATTCCAAGTGATAAAAAAATTTAAACAAAAAAAAAATCCGCCTGAAACTGCCTTTACAGCCCACAGGCACCACCAAACAGAGAGCATCAAACCCCAACAACCGTCACATGCCGTTATAGAAAAAGCCAACAGAAGCCACAGAGACCCAATCTCGTCTTCTAACCATTAAAACGCAGGGACTTTCACGTCATTTCAAGTTCGCCTCTTCCCAACGCCGAAATAATATAAGCCTTCAACATCTTTTAGCCTCACCAAAGTCATAGATTTTTTCAATTTTTATAATCCAGCACAAAACCCGCGGCTTTAAATCTCGCTAACGTACGCCATCTGCGCTGTGCGCGCTTCCTGCCGTAAAATCTTACGTGTCGCAACGGCTTTCGTTGTAAATTTTACGTGTGAGCTCATTACAAAAGGTGCGCACCCACCCTCGCTGTGCCCGTTAGCTTCGTACCTATATTTTGTTTTCCATTTTCCGTTCCATTTCCCACCGATTCCTCTCATTTGCTTAAGAGACACTGTCGAAACCTCTCTCACCTTCTTATTTGTCTATCACTCACCCCCCACCGCCCTTATCTCTCAATTTGCAGCTGTTTGTCTCGTAAAACCACTCCAATTCTATTATCTTTACAGCTGCTTCACTTCCTTCCCTACCAGGCAAACAGATTCTAGGAAAAACCTCGATCTCCGTTTGTTTTGACTGGATCGCTGATCTCAAAAGCAGGCAAGCGCAGCGCTGAGATATATTTAGCTTGTTATTTTGAAATTTTGTGATTGGATTCAGAAAACCATACCGAAATCATGCGTTTTTTGTTTCCTTTCTTGAATCTCATCGATTTGCAGGGATTGCACGCCTTCTCCAGTTCTTCTTCTTCCTCGTTCATTTTATGCATCATGTGCATTAAGTTTTAGTTTTAGTTGTTTGATCTCTTTCTGAGTCAAAGCAAGCAAGCAGGCAAGCGCGTGTGAAGCAGGAGTGCACTGAGTTGGTGGTTTGGTTTGAATTTTGTGTGCGCTCTGTGAAAAAAGAAAAGAAAAGAACAATGCCTCATCGTACCACTTACTTCTTCCCTAGGCAATTCCCGGATAGGTCCGGGTTCGATGCATCATCTTCGTCTTCAAAACAAGCATTAGATCACGAGAAGAAAAAAGTAACTAAAGATGCTTTTAACGTCGAAAATGACCGCCGAAAGTCTTCATCAAAGGATCAGTACTCCTCCTCATCTTCCTTTCCAGTTGGCAAAAATGCATCAAAAACAACAAGTACTCCAACCACAATAACGACACCAATATCCGATCTCTTCACGAGCAGTGATGACGAAAAGTATCATCCGAAGACCAAAAAATTTGGCGAGGATGACAAGTATAAGCAAAAGAAAAAACAACTTGCCGCTTTTTTCGACTGGTTGTCCGAGAAAAAAGTTGAGAAGTCTACTAGTCACGTGAAGTTGCAAAGATTATCGAGTGAGGAGGATCGTAAGCTGCTAGTTACACCGGAGCCGGAACCGGAACCAGAGCCTGTTCTTCCAGTTCCGGAGATAATTAAAGAGAGGGATGTTGACCGGAATTTTGATCGGCAAGTGTCGCTGCCAAGATTATCGAGCGGGAGTAGTTATGCTGGTAGCTTGTTCTCGGGGATTACAACGCTTGATGGAAACTTTACTACTGATATTAAGGTTGACACGTCGACGACGGTGCATGCTCCAACTATAAAGCAGGATGTGGTGCACGAGGTAGTGGAGGAAAAGGAGGATCAGGAGAAGACGAAGGAAAACTTGGCGGTAAAGACTAAAGAGAGCTATTATTTGCAGCTTAGTTTGGCTAAGAGGCTGAGTGCTCAAGCTGATATTGCTAGCGAGCTTGTGCTTCTGCAGGAAGGAGTCCCTGACGCCTCCGATGCACAAACCGTTTCGTATCGTCTCTGGGTACAGTTCAATCCATCCCATTCCTTTACGTTTTATTTATGATTAGTTTTCAAGTCATGACAATTGTTCATGATCGTGTTCGTTATTCCAGGTGAGTGGATGCTTGTCGTACAGTGACAAGATATCAGATGGATTCTATAACATTTTGGGAATGAATCCATATCTTTGGGTTATGTGCAATGAAGATGATGAAGTAAGCAAGCTGCCACCTTTATTGTCGCTCAAAGAAATTGAACCAAGTGAGACATCAATGGAGGTGATTCTTGTTGATAGACGTGGTGACTCGCGTCTTAAGGAGCTGGAGGATAAAGCACAAGAACTATATTGTGCTTCTGAGAATACATTGGTGTTGGTGGAGCAACTGGGCAAACTTGTTGCTATTTACATGGGGTAAGGTGTTTGTCGTGATATGTTAGATTCTTCTTTGTTTACTACTTGAATGTTTACTTGTTCGATTTTAATTTTTTTTTAATTTGGGATTTTAAATGTCTAGGGGAACTTTCTCGGGGGAGCAAGGGGATCTCCAGAAGCGCTGGAAATTGGTTAGCAGGAGACTGAGGGACTTCCATAAGTGTATTGTGCTCCCCATTGGTAGCCTATCCATGGGACTCTGCAGACATCGCGCGATTCTATTCAAGGTAAAAAAAAAAAAAAAAGGTTTTTTTTTTTTAGGTCTCTTTTTTTAAAAAAACAATGATTTGACATTAGTTCCGATCACTAGTTAGTTTGTTTGTACATCAACGGAACACTAGTAGTCTACCGATTTATAAATCTTCAATGAGTTGGTACTACAAAGAAGAGACATGATTGAGCTGAAGGATATCTACTCGTGAATACTTAGTCTTCATGGTAATCTTATTGGACAGGATGACTCTGTGTATGTGTATGCACTACGCGGGTAGTTTCTGATGTGTGTGTGATTGGGGGGTGTTGATACTGTAAAGAAGTGGAGACTGTAGACGCAATATATATAAGGTCCTTTCGGGGAGTTTTCATGATGGGAAATTAATGGAGGGTAGCAACTGCATATCTGGTTGAGGAAACTTGGTTGATTTTTTATCTAGTTCAAGAGCATCAGCTCATAGTGAGTTTATTAGATACAACCCCCTAATCCTCTTAAAGGATTCTTTCTCTGGAATTCAGTAATATTGAAAGTTCTCATATTTCAACTTTTGATGGGTGAATTCTATTGGACAGTCATGTTACATCGAGGCAACTAGTTGGTTTTTGCTAGAAGGGTCACTTCGTATGTAGGTTTGTGATCCATCACATTTTGTTGAGGATTTGGGATGAAGACTTTGTGTATATATTTTGGGAATTTTTTTGGCACCTCTGTTGTTTCACTTTGTCTTTTGTTGTTTTAACTGCTGTGTGATACTCATGTTTGTTTTAATTTTTTTTTGGATGGAAAAAAACTTGCGCTTTGTGTTGTTTTTGTGTTTTGTTCTTTGATTTTCCTTCTCATTTTGGACCATCTTATGGTGCCAATTGAAGAAATGTTGTTATTGGAAGATCGTATTTAGTTCTAAGATATGGTGCCAGGATTTACATTTCTTAATAGCAAAGGAAATTTGTAAAGCACACATGACTGTCTGAACAGGGGCATGGTACATGAGAATGCAACTGATTTAGAAGAATCATGCATCACCCCAAAATATATAGAGCCATCCTTTAAGAATGCTCTTTCCCTGGTCTAAGTGAGGTACTTGTAGCTTGTCTCATAAATGGCAATGTTTGTTTGAAATCTTTAATTCGCATAGGATTCTAGCAGGATGTCAAGCCTATCTGATCGTTCTATGTAAAATTTTGTTCTTGCAGTTGATATATATAGCATCCATTGAAGGATATAAGCTTAACCTTAGAAAACTATTTTCATGGCGAACTGGATCATGTCTGTCTCTAAGCATCATTGAGTAAAGCACGCTGTGTGGCAGCTATCTTTCCTTTGTATTAAGAGGCTGTGATGAAGTCTTTATGCCGATGTCTTGTAAAATCCAGTTTAAGTTGAAAATAGTTTTACAAAGATCATTATGAAGCAGATAGGAAATGACATTTTTGGCAACATAAACAGATTGTAAATCAGTGTGTGCTCATTATACAATAGAAAGCGAGTTTCAAGCACATTAGTAACTCGTGGTGATGTATTTTGGCGTATGCAGAAATTGGCAGACTATATAGGTTTGCCATGTCGGATTGCTCGAGGTTGCAAGTACTGTGTAGCAGACCACCGGTCTTCTTGCCTTGTCAAAATTCAGGATGACAGGCAGTTGTCAAGGTATGATGCTTTGGCTTCTCTCTTACATATTTACTTGAGATGAAATGAAATAAAATAAGTTAAAATAAAATAAGTGGAAGAAAGCACTAGTTAGTCTTCTGTATTTCTTCTTTTGCTGAAGAATGTTTAGTGTTTTTGCAAGATGATTTAGCATTCAGTTATAGTTACCTTAAATTTGAACCTCCAGCATATTCTTATCCCTGGGTTCTTTTTTCTCCATGTTGTCCAAGAAAAAGGTTTTCAAGATGTTATGCATTCTCTTTTGTTCATTTGTTCATTTTTTTTTTTGGGTTCATATATTGACTGACATCCATATGAACTTTGGCCTCAAATGCATCTGCATGACCAATGACAATCTGCGTGCAGTTCTACCATTTCATGATTCTCCCTAATATAGTCTATGATAGCTTTTATAATTTTCTAAAGCAACTGAAAATTGTTCCTCAGTCCAATCGGGTAGAATTATAAATGCCTTTGAACTTGTCTTCTACATCAGTTATTCTTCATTTCATGTTTTGCTAATTCAGATGGGTACATTTGTTAACAGGGAATATGTAGTTGATCTAGTTGGGCGGCCAGGAAATGTCCATGGTCCAGATTCCACAATTAATGGAGGATTTCTTTCTTCAATGCCTTCACCATTTCAAATTCCGCATCTAAAAGAATCACAACAACCTTACATGGATGATGCACCTTATGAGATTGTAGACTCGAAGCATTCATGTCCTTTTCCCGAAAATCCTCTATGTTTAGGTATGTCATTTTTTAAGCCTCAGAGCTAAATTTCACATTGCAATGATTGCATCATGAATGAAATGGTTGATAGTAACTCGATGAATTAGGATAAACAACGATGGCATATTTACAACTTGTTTTAGTGGTGGAAAATATGACATATGGTTCCGGCACTTCTTTTTTGTATGGTATTTTATATTGCAACAATACCATTTCTTGATGTTCATGGATGACTGACGGCTCTAAATTTCTTTATTATTTTCTTTCCACTTTTGTTAAGCACCAAGGCTTCTAATATGGGTATTTACTCCTACTGCCTAATGCAAACCTTTTTTTTCCGATTTAATTTTGGGGAACAATCTTTTGCAGGCAATGGGGAAGAAGAGAAACAGACAGAGGAGGATGGGTGGTTTCAAAATCTGAAAGTCTCCACTTATGTACCAGTGGATCAACCGTACCTTGGAAAAGAATCATCCCTGATGCATTTGGATTTGAAAAGGAATGCTGAAGCTCCTGAAACTGCCAGACGATCTGTACATGAATGTTCTAGACTTGAAGCAGAACAGGTCATTATACAACAAACTTACAAGAAAGAGATGCTTGGGTGTGGAAGTCCAGTTATAAACAGTGTTGTTGAGCAAACTAAAGTAAATCTATCCAATCAGTCCAATATAAAGGAAGTTGGGAGTAGAGTCGACAATCAAGGTAGACTTCCTTCGGTGACCATCCCAAGATATTTGAATCTTGAACCTTCACTTGCCATGGATTGGCTTGAGATCTCATGGGAAGAATTACATATCAAGGAGCGTGTTGGCGCTGGTAAATTTTCTGCTACTTATTATGCAGAAGCCTACAATTGGTTTTCTTGAAGTATTTGATCATTATTCTTCCCCTAAAGGAAATTGAATAAAGTGTCGTGCTCATTTTATCCTTGCAGGCTCATTTGGTACGGTGCATCGTGCTGAATGGCATGGATCGGTGAGTATATTGCTCAGACATGTGTTCATTGATTTTTTAATCATGAGTCGTTTGAAGTTGATCCTGATCCATTGCTGCACTGGTCTTTGACTTCTTTCTATGGATGTTTCTTTGTTCTATTCTTTATAGCTTTCAGAAAGTAAATCCCTTCTTGTGCCAATACAGGATGTTGCTGTCAAGGTTCTAACTGTTCAAGATTTTCATGATGATCAGTTGAGGGAGTTCTTAAGAGAGGTATGTACTGGTTATGCCTAAAGTATGGGTGATATCAGTAAGGTACCCTATCTATTGTCATCTTCTATATTCGTGACGTACACATTTTGTGTCATCTGTTGATGTTCACTTCCTCAATTGAATGCTTGTTTTGCATATTCTCTATTCTGTCCAAGGGTTTTTATTTCTAGGCTTCCAATTCTCATCTTATCAAAATGTTACTTATTCTCCTATTCAGTTTTTTAGTTTCTTTTGTTCTGCTCGCAATTGATCTATATGCTCATAGTATGCTTTGTTTTGGAATTTGTAATGTAACTGAACGTACAATGAGAATTCTTGATTTCATGCCCATGTACTTCCATACTCTGTCACTCTCTGCTAGAAAATGTTGTCTTTTAGTGTTACACCTGTCTAGATAAGTGTGGAATCCAAGAATCTTATTACGTGATCATTAGTTGACTTTGTTCATCTTTTGTCTAACTGATTTGTCTGAACACAATTTGCTGTCAATCTGTTACGCTGCATCTTATCATCTCTGATTGACTTGTTACTTATCAAGAGAAAATCTAAGCATGTTATAGGTAGTAATCTATATATTGTTCGGTTTTGCAGCCTTTTCCTTTAAAGATTACCAGCTTTGGGTGTGTTCTTTCTATGGCAAATAACACTGCTACAGATCAAGTTCTAATTAACGTTTTTTTTTTCAGGTGGCAATAATGAAACGTGTTCGCCATCCAAATGTGGTTCTCTTCATGGGTGCCGTCACAAAGCGTCCTCATCTATCAATTGTGACAGAATATCTGCCAAGGTATCATCCAATTCATTGCACAGTAACCAATTGATCTTCATGTATCACCGGACATTTCATGCTAACCTGTGTATTTCTGAACAGGGGCAGTCTATACCGTCTCATACACAGGCCGACTGCAGGTGAAGTGCTAGATCAAAGGAGGCGGTTACGTATGGCATTGGATGTGGTGTGTGAGAGTTCTTACCATTGTTAATACTGGCTTTGATTTCCTGATTATGTTTTTAGCAGAAGTTGATTTATTTATCTTCTTTCCTGGGAGCAGGCCAAGGGCATCAATTATCTTCACTGTCTTAATCCTCCAATTGTTCACTGGGATCTTAAATCTCCAAATTTGTTGGTTGATAAGAACTGGACAGTAAAGGTAAACGATAAACTATACACATGAATGGTATTCAACTTCTAGGCGACTTGCTGCATATTTTTAACCTCAATTGTTAATTTCATGCTCAGGTGTGTGATTTCGGGTTGTCTAGATTCAAAGCGAACACTTTTATATCATCAAAATCAGTGGCTGGAACTGTAAGTCTCTTAATATTATGTGCTAAATTTTGTAAGATTCGTGTTCATTCCCTTCTTATAAACTCCCATGATTGTGATTATTATTTAATTGAATTTTGCAAATTAGTTTTCTCTGAAGATTAGACCAATATACATTTAGGCATGAGAGCTTTTTGAAGCTGTGATAAGCAGAATTTTGTCAACCTCCAGACCCCTCTGGTGTTGAGTGCTACAGCATTCTTGTTCATTATCATTAGACCTTTTTCTTGTTGCATTTTGCTTTTCTGAGTAGGCTTTTGAATGTTCTCTTCTCTGCAGTAGAAAATCAGATAATTTTCAGTTAATATCTTGCAGGTTGAAAATTTACTTCACAGTGCATCAATCAGCATGTAACTCTCTTGCTTTTATTTTCAGCCCGAGTGGATGGCTCCAGAATTCCTTCGTGGAGAGCCTTCCAATGAGAAGTCTGATGTTTACAGTTTCGGAGTTATCCTATGGGAGCTTGTGACCCTGCAACAACCATGGAGTGGACTTGGCCCTGCCCAGGTAAAAAAAAAAAATGATGCATGTAGTATATCTAATTGTTAGTAGATTTACACCGGCGCCTATTTTTATGATTAATCTGACATGTGGAACCTTTCAGGTGGTTGGAGCCGTAGCCTTCCAGAATAGAAGGCTTTCTATTCCCCAGGACACGCCTCCAGTATTGGCTTCTCTCATGGAATCTTGCTGGGCTGAGTAAGTAATAATGTAATATTGGGTGTCGAAGTTTGTTTATAGTACTTGTATGCTTACTGCCTAAACAGATGAGGGGGGGGGGGGGGGGTATATTTTCAAGATGGAATATGCGTTCCCTCTTAAGACTTTTTGGAAATAGAAGTACTAACACTCAAGCAAATCTTCATTCTTGAAGCCTGGTCATGCCATCGTAATGAGAGGTCATTTAGGCTTCTGAATGCAATTTGCCTTGCGATTAAAGTTCCTATAGTTGCCTGAGAGGCTGAGACATGCAAGACTTTTAGTTTCTGTTTATACTCTAGATATTTATAGCTGTCTTGTGTCTAGTTCCATGATCTAGCTGCCCTCTCTGAGAGTCCTAGTGATCCCAGACTGTATGAGTTGCTATTTTGTTTGAAGATGAACAACCTACAAGGCTACAACTGCTGAACTGTTGGTTATATTTGTTCTGTTTATAATGCTTGCTCGTTTTTGTTGGCAGTGATCCAGCTCAGCGCCCATCTTTTGGTAAGATTGTCGAGTCCTTGAAGAAGTTGTTAAAGTCGCCACTACAGCCGATGCAGATCAGTGGACAAAAGCGATCTCCCATCAAAGATACTTAATGTATTCTCGCTGTGAAATATTTTGAGTCTCAGCTAACTCCGTCGATTTAGTTGACAAAAATCGAAGTCCTGAACCCTTATAGCTATATCCAACTAACAGAGGACCTTTTTGGTTCCAGGCAACTGTAGATGTGTTGCTTATCTAACCCATTTGAAAGGCCTTTAAACTTGTCAAGTCGAAACCTGCTGTTTAAAATGCTGGCAGAGAAGTTCCTTCTGCATTCGGAGAAACAGGTTTCTATGGCCAGCCTTTCTCTCCTAAGTTAATTTGCATGGCAATCCGAAATGTTTAAGAATTCGGAAGATACTTCGGCATGTATTTTCTTTTGTAGGCATTCTGGGGTGTAATCAGTGAATTTCTCCATCATGTTGATACAGCAGCATGATGATGTAATAATACAATTAAACTCCTTCCAATATATATATATGTTTAAGCATCAATGCAAGTGATGATCTCAAATGCAATAATTTCTTCTGAAATACTTCGGCATGTATTTTCTTTCGTAGGCATTCTCGGCCGTAATCAGTGAATTTCTCCATCATGGTCATACAGCAACATAATGATGTAATCATACTATCAAACTCCTTCCAATTTATGTTTAAGCATCAATGCAATCGACGATCCGCAAGTGCAATCATTTCCATTCAAATCCTTGTGATATATAATTTTAAAATCAATGCAAGTCATTAGCAAGCGGAAGAGTTGTTTCCCCTTTGGCTAAGCCATAACTGCATTTGTCATCATGTTTCCCCTCTGGTTAGGCCATCACTGCATTTGTCATCATTTTACGCAATACCTGGGAACATCTGCGAAATAAAATAATGGGAGATATTATTATTTCTGGTTCAAAATTTCCTATAAAAATAGAAAATGTCATCATGTCTTTGAATGTGTTATGATCAATTTACGTGATTTTAACTATTGTTTTACATAATTGGAAGTAACCTACTATTGATTTAGGTAATTTGAATAATTGATTTATATAATTGAAAGTAACCAATTAGGTTTACCCAAAATCTAAAAAATCAATGCTACTGATTTACATAATTGGAAGTTACTAATTAGGTTTACGGAACTAAAAATCAATCACTCATCCAATTTGAGTACCTTTATATGATAAAATTCAACAAAAAACTAAAAAGTAAGGGTAACAAGTGATTGAGTTCATGAGTTTCTCATATAAAATTATTGGCTTTGAAGATATAATAATATGGAAAATATAAAAATATTTCAAGCATCAAAAGAACTAGAAGCTTCCTTTATTTTTTAAAAAAGGAAGATGGGTTATTCACATTTTATTTGATGATTCGAGGCGAATTGAAAACTATGATTTGAGGTGAATTGAAAACTAAGCAATAATAATTCTAAGGATTTCCTTGTGAAAAAAATAAAGATGTTTCTTACATTACCCTTAATATGTAGAAATATCAACAAAATTTTATAGTATCATTCTGTGTGAATGCTACATGAACAAAATACACTAGATGAAAGAATGAAAGAGGTAGGATGTAGAATAGCATAACATGAGTTATGAATATTTGTTTGCTGAGGACTAGAGGGAGTTGGAAATGATCATATTACGCAATGCGAGTTGCGATCTTTGTTAATGGTAATTCCAGTCCTCCATTTTGCAAAGTTCAAGCTGCAACCATCCTATCATTTTACATGGCCACGTTATTGCCCTAATATTTTAAATTACATTCTTTAGTGCTTTTAGGATTAATTAGTATTTAGTAGGCTGATGCCATTTTTACTAGTCTACCTTAAATTTTTTTCCACTATGAGCATTTATCACAATTTACAATGCATATTCTCGTGCGTTATCTTTCAGAAAAGAAGGCAAGATTTATGAATTTTCAACTAAAGTGTTCTACAAACAGGCAATTCGTCTTCATAGAAAAAATTGTGGTGTTTTTGAATTGAATTGAATTGAGAGTTTTTCAACAGTTAGGATTTGAGATTCAAACATAGTACTGAATTTTAAATATCTTTTCTTTAACTCAGCAAAATAAACGTACTCAAAGCTTGTTGTTTATTAATGATAATTTAATTCCACAAAACATCAAATTCATAGATATATGATTTCAAATTAGAAGTTTGAGAAAGATTTTTTAACTGATTAATTGATTTAATTTAGTTCCAAATCTGCTTGTCAGTGCAGTCACATATTCACTCCAATACAATTTTCTATTCAAGCTTTAGTTGTATGATGCCAATACAAAGCTTTTTCATCTTAGAAAAAAGAAGCATATTAGACCTTTTTATATTCATCTATGGATTCAATCTCAAAACAATGATGATCTGGACAACTATTTGTTAATATCATCTCCATCAAAAATAGAAACCTGTGCCGCATTGGTTTAAGTCTGGACAGAGATTGTGTGATTTGTACTGTGTATTGGTGAATGGTTGTAGGAAAAGGGTAAACAATGGTGGTAGGAGGAGTAGGTAAGATAGGGTTTGTGTTGATGGGTGTGGGCTGAATACTTTGGTGGAGTGGGGGAGGTATACCAACAGAGCTAAGAGTAGTGACGGTAGATGTTTGTTCAGTAGCCGAAGAAGCCATGAGAGCATTGAATAAGGTTTTGAGATCTGCAAAATAGTCCTTCATATTTCTTTTTATTTTATCAATTTTATGTGGTTTCTTGGGCTAACAGCCTCGCCGACTCTCTAATTTATCCAAATCATCTATTTTTGTGTTTTTGGCCATGGAACAATACAAAAGATGACAAGCTCTGATAACAATTGATATCGGTTTGTTATGTTTCTTGATGACAAAGACCGAAGAAATGAGAAGAGAGATATAGGAAGAAGACAAAATTATGATTTTGATTTCAATGTACCTTGTACAATTATGTTACAATATATACTAGTTTTTTTAGTAGCGTTACGCTACGAATTGAATAAAATATATAAAATTATTTAAAAAAATTATTTCAGTTTAATTATCTATTTTATGATATGAATATATAAAAATATATGAAATCAAAAGTGTAAAAAATTATTTAATAAAAAATTTTGTATTGAATTATTTTTTATTTGTGTTTTTCATAATTTTTCTTTTAGAAAGAGGATTCATTCTTGTTAATTCATTGATCATTAACTAAAAAGAAAATTAAATAATTTTTAAATTTTTGTTTTAGTATTTCATAAGATTGTGTCGAAAAACATAAATAACAATTATTAAAAGCTTACATATTATTGCACAAATATTTTTTTTATTTAATGTTAATGAGAAAATCAATTTTTGAAAAAATGTGAACTTAATTTTTATATATTTATTTACAAAAAAATGAATAATATTAAAATTAAAAAACTATATTAATTTGAATTATTGAGTGCTTAAGCCAAAACATTATTTTAATTATTTAATAGAAAATAAGTTAATTTTAAAATATTCAAAAATAAATAAATAAATAGTAAATGCTTAGTGTAATAGTAGTTGCACAAGCTGATTTCTAAAAAACAACGATTCAATATTTTTTTATATATCATAACTATACTAAGCGAATTTAGAGTTTTCGATCTAAAACAAAAAATACTATAAAAAGTTAACTTGCAAGAAATATATTGACTAAATTTGAAGTTAATAGACTAAAATAAAAATTATTACAAATCTAATTTCAAATAATTTTGATTATATAAAGAAGAAACAAATTAATAAAACATGTGAATTCTTTTTCTTTCTTTTTGTCCTCCTTCTTAAACATTTTTTTATTTCTATGTTATGCATGGCTAGTCCTTGAATATAGGCCTCGATGCATAGAGCAATCATCTTTTTTTATTTTTCACATTTGACTTTCAACTATTAATTAATTAATTAATTTGAGTTTTTTTCTAAAAAAAATAAAAAAATATTTGAAATACACTTTTGATCTAAAAATGTATTTTAGACAAATTATATATATTAATCATGCCATTATAATTTAAAAGTTATCTAAATCTATTTTTCAAAAGAAAAAATAATCATGTTCTAAAAATTTATTTCAAAATCCATACATATAGAAAATTAAATCAAAACTGTTAGTAAATATAATTTTAAATTAATTAAATGAGAATTTAAAAAAAAAATGACATAAAGTCGTAAATTTTAAATAATAAAAATAATTAACAAAAAATGCTAAAAAAAAATGGGACGAAATCATAATATAATCAAAGTTTGAAATTGAAAAAAAAAAAAACAGAGAGAGAATTTAAAATTTTTTTTGACAAATTAATGTAGCAAATTTTAAATAATAAAAAATTGAGAAAAAATTATTTGAAAAACACTTTTAATCTAAAAATGTATTTCAGAAAAAATATATATATTAATCATGTCACTATAATTTAAAAAGTATGTAATCTATTTTTCAATAATAATAATAATAATCATGTTCTAAACATTTATTTCAAAATCTATACATATAGAAAAATAAATTAAAATTTTCAGTAAATATAATTTTAAATCAATTAGATGAGAATTTAAAAAAAAAATGACAAATTAAAGTAGTAAATTTTAAATAATAAAAATAATTAACAAAAAATACTAAAATAAAATGGGACAAAATCACAATATAATCAAAGTTTGAAATTGAAAAAAAAAAAAGAAGAGAATTTTAAAAAATGACTAATTAATGTAGTAAATTTTAAATAATATAAAAAACTCGAGAAAAATTATTTGAAATATACTTTTAATCTAACAATGTATTTTAGACAAATTATATATATTAATCATACCACTATAATTTAAAAATGATCTAAATCCATTTTTCAAAAGAAAAAATAATCATGTTCTAAAAATTTATTCTAAAATCCATACATATAGAAAAATAAATCAAAACTCGTCAATAAATATAATTTTAAATTAATTGAATGAGAATTTAAAAAAATAGTAAATTAAAATAGTAAATTTTAAACAATAAAAATAACTAAAAAAAACACTAAAATAAAATAGGATCAAATCACAATATAATTAAAGTTTGAAATTAAAAAAAAAAGAAGAGAATTTAAAAAAAAAGACAAATTGAAGTAGTACATTTTAAATAATAAATATAATTAAAAAATTAAAGTTTGAAATTGAAAAAAAGAAAAGAAAATTTAAAAAATGACAAATTTAAATAGTAAATTTTAAATAATGAAAATAATTAATAAAAAAAATACTAAAACAAAATAGGGCTAAATCACAATATAATTAAAGTTTGAAATTAAAAAAAACAAGTTTAAAAAATTTGAGGACCAAGGTGTTAAAAAAATGACATGAATAGTGAAAGAAATAGTGATTTATCAGCATGTGAATAGTGAGTGTATAAATAATGTTTTAAATAGTGAAATGAATAGTAAAATTATGTTTTATTTTAGTTTGTTTTACTCATTTTTATTAAAAAATGATCAATTATCTTGTTTTAATAACCAATCTAATAATATTAGCCTAACAGCTCCGTCCACCATAATTAAATAAATTTAATCAATTATAAGTAAAAATTGACGTCAGAATCCATTCAAAACCCTAACTGCTGAAAAATTTCCAATTCAATTGAAAAACACCCGGTTTCTCTTCAAAGGGCAATTGCATGTATCAGTCCTACGTTAGGTCAACTTCAAACAATGGAATTGAGTCGGGGCAATCTCGCTGCAATCCAGACTTGTCTGTGGGCCGGACTTGAGGCCAGTTTTTTTGTTTTTTTAAAGAATTTTGGTATTTTTGGCTGGAATTTGATAAAATGGAAGTTCAGTCCGGTCCATGACGGTCGGTCAAAGACAGGCCATTTTCCTTTTTAACTTGCTCAGTATAGTTTTTGCACGTCTCGTGTATTATATGGGATTTTATTTTCAGAGAAATCATGTGAAATTATGTCAGAAGTGATACTTCCTTTTCTTACATAAAATTATTCATAAGTACTAATTTTATATGAGGGAGTAGCGGATACCTTATAATTGATTTTACATTCAAAATAGTGTGAAATTTCTTTCTCAAATCTCTTTTAAAAATATGATATCACAGATAACACCTTTATTAATTATTTGAGTTAATTAATTACTTATGCTGAAATCAAGAAATTATTTTATATGTTCGGAGTTGTACTCCTGTCTAAATAAAGGTAGGATTAATAGCGAGCATTTGATTTTTTTTTGTTTTCGTTTTTAACATTTCGATTTAATTTTTGTATCATTAAACTTATAAAAGAAAATCTGAATCCAAGTCGAATTTTTATTTGGTTTATGAAACCAAAATTTCAATTTTTGGATTCTGTTTTTTTTTTGGAAAAAAAATTAAATTTTCTTTTTAGATAAAAAAAAGTGTGTTATAGACTATAGAATTCTTCATGTAGTCCAAATAGTCAAAATTAACCTATATGAAAGATAATAAATATTTATTTAGAAAAAACTGAATCATAAATCCATACCACTTAATAAGACATTAATAAGACATTAAAATTTTAAATACAAATCTACCAATTCATTAATTCATGTATAAAATATATAATAATAAAAAATCATTGATTGTTCAAACAAATTGTAAATCGAACCATAAAAATTTAAATAACAATTAAAAGTTCAAATATGTTCTAAAAAAATATTTTTATTTTTTGTGAAAACAAAATTAAAAATTTTAATAAAATCAAACCAGAACCAAATAATCGAAATTATCAATTTCTGTTTTTTAATCCAATTTAATTACGAAACAAATAAAATTTAGATTTCAGTTTTGATTCAGTTCCATCAATCATTTTAATAAAAAACTATTGACTTATATGTAAGATTTATAAATTATTTTTATAATAGATTTTGTATTTTTATAGAAAATAAAAACATAATTTTTTATGTACTTCATAATTTCTTATTGGAACCAAATAATTAGAGTAATATTCTAAAAAAAAAATCAGAACATTCATTAGAACCAATTTTTGGAAGAAACTTCAACTTTACCTCTAGGTCCGTCCAACTTCTCTTCTAGTTTAGCATCTGACGTATAGCCATCAGCAATTTTCAATTCAATTGTGATAGGCATATAAAACAGAGGAGGGCGGCCATATTAATATCGGGTCCCAGACTTTCCATAATCGGTCAACAACATCAACGGCCGTTATCATTCCATCAACTTTTCACCCCCTTCCCTCCCTCTCCAAAACAAACCTCAAACATCCTTTCCCATCCCAGAAAATCAATTACACAGAAACATTAAGAACTTTAGAGAGGAAAAATAAAAAAATGATATTCGATATTCTTCTACAAGCAGGTCTCATACTGGTAGGGGTGTTCATGTTTCTAGCTATGCATAACATCCCTCAAAAATTCCTCTCCAAACTCCGCTACCGCAACCGGGCCGATCTCCAAGCCAAACGCCACTTCGTTCGCGGCGCCCAGTTTCTCTCTCAAGCCAGATCGCCCTCTAACTCCCGCTCCACAACAACCTCCTTAGCCAAACAAGCCGAAGACGAAGCCAACAAAGCCATCTCTCTTGACCCCAAAGACGCCGCGTCTCACATTTTAAAAGCGTTATCTCTCGATCTGCAAGGGTACAGGACGTCAGCTCTGGAATCGATCAACGTGGCTTTGTCGCCGCTGGCGGTTAAGTCGTTGAGCGAGAGCGAGAAAGGGGATGCGTTGTTTAAGAGAGCTGAATTGGCGATGGGGATGAGCCGGCGCGGACGAGTTGACTCGGCGATTGAGGATTTGACTCAGGCAGTTAAGTTGAATAAGGATAATGGAAAAGCGTTTTGTTTGTTAGGTGAGTGTTACGAGGTTAAGAAAATGAAAGATGAAGCTAAAGAGGCTTATGAAGAGGCTTTGAGGTTGCAGCCTGAGTTGGCTTTGGCTAAAGAGAAATTGGATCGCTTGGCTTCCTAACGGCTTCTGGGTCGTTCTTGATTTTGGTTTTATTGCAAACCTTCGGTGTTGTATTTTTTTTTCCCCCTTTTTGAAGGAATAGGGGAGTTGAATTAACTACAATAAAAAAGAGGAATTTTTATTTTTTTGGGTTGCTTTCTGTGTGTGTGTAATTTTCTGATCTGGCCAGATGGTAATGCTATGTATGATTTGATTCAGTAATTTTTTTTTTTAACCTCCGAAGGTGAAATGATAGACCCTGTTTGTTTAATTTCTAATGCATCTTGTTGATAAATTAAGGTTTTAGATGCAAATCGATTGAGCAAGTGGGGCATATTTCCTTAAGAAGAGATGCTAATAGCCCTGGAAACTGAAACGGTACTTTTCTGTACTTACCTTACATGGTTTTACATGATCTTCTCAAACTGAGATTTTAAGGGGAGCAAATATTCGACTCGTTTTCATCCATTAGAGGGGAAGAAAGGAAAGAAGTAAAGGAAATTAATAATTATCTTGCACCAATCGACTTTCACAGTTGCTTTTATGGATCAGCAATAGAAACATTGACGGTGTATTCAATAGGCCTAAGCTATGAATGAGCGTGTGTATTATGCAGAAACGCTCCCATTTGATCAAATGGTAACTAATTATCTTTCGTAAATGATCTTATGGTTAAACCAGTAGTGAATAATTTCGTTATCAGATATTAGACGAATATATCAACAGTACGTTCCACGCTCTTTGAGAATTTTTTTTTTAAAAAAAAACAAGAGTTGATAACGTACCTTGCAAGACTTCAAGTTGATTAATTTTAATGCTCCTCTGGGTAGTTTAACACCGAACTTGGCTTTCCAATAGACTTCATGATATTCAGTGCATATTCTTCCTCTTCAATCATATACCGTCGACGGCATGCCCAAAAGTTGGGCTTCTTTATTTATTTGTTATTTTTATTCTATAATACAGCTTAACTATTTATTTAAATACCTTAATTAAGGTAGTAGTTGCGTGAGGATGAAGAGTGAATACTTGTTCCAAGCCTAACCGATTTAGGTTTTGCCCAATTCTGGTTTTGACCGAAGAAGCTTCCCAGTCTCATTCCAAAAGTATGCGGATGCGTGACCAGCAAACTGATCACTCAGTTTCTGATCTTATATAGAGAGAGGGATTTAAGCTTCTTGAAAAAGCATAAGTGCTTCCTTTACATTACATTAAAGTTTCTTAAAGCAAGCCAAGAGAAGTGTGCAAAACAAAAGAAAGTAATTAACTAACAATGGCCTCAAAATCAAGCGATATCAGCAGAGCCGTATATATCCTTGCCTTATCAGGCCTGTTCACAGGTGCTATTATCAGCTTATATTTTCATCGGCTTGAAAGGAATTAGTAGAAGAGATCCAAGACCACTTTGGGGTGAATTTCGGTCAGTGTAACTTTTGGTTAGATATATATATATTTTTTTTAAAGTGCTATACAATCCTACTGACTTTTTAAAGTAGCAATCGATTTCTCTCTGATCCTATCTACCATACAGTGCAAATGTTGAACAGGATTGCTTATAATTGACAAAATAGTCAAGAATTACATGGGTTTCCTAGTTTTTTCCTCAAATTAGTTTACCTTTACTAATCTCTTCCAATGAAAATGTGCAGTTCAAAGCACTTTGTCAAGTACCTACGATGGCTCCAAGACACTAGGAATCAAAATTCAAGATGGATTACTCACATTGGCGGTCAAATTCTTCCACTTCTTTGTTGCAAAATCTCTGCAGTTCAGATATTTGCCAGCCTTGCAGCCAGCAACATCTACTACATCTATGTTATTCTGGGTGGCATTTACTCGGGCAATCTCGTCTATGTCCAATGACTCGATATAATAATGTTACTTATAAATTCTTTTACCGTTGTTTCCAATGAGGGATATAGCTTGTTCCGCTGGCAAAGGAATCTTCCTTACAAGATGGTGTCTGAAAGGCATTGAATTGCCATGAGAAATTGCCACTAAAACTTTCTGGCACCTAGCTCTTTCTCTCTTTGTCACAGCTTCACTTCTGATGAATGCTCGACGACAAAAAGAACTGCTCTTTCTGATAGTATTCCAACGAAAAGAAAAAAATGAAAGTTGTATTGATTGTTAGGTGAATGTTATTTATGAGGTTAAGAAGATGAAAGAGTAGGCTCTGAGGGGTTCCGGTTTGCTGCCTGGATTTGCTTTGGCGAGAAATTGGATCTCTCGGTCTCCTTGAAAGTTGAAATCGCTCGCCTTTTCTTTTTCCGTCAAAATTGTGATCATATCAAACTTTAGTTGTAAATCTAGTGTTGTACCTTTATTTATAAAGGTAAGGAAAATTATGGCAATAAAATGAGGAATTTACAATTTTTGGTGCATCCTGTTTGTGAATAGTTCTGCTATAAACCACGAACAAAAAAGATTTAACTTTTGATTTTCAAAAGATGGTAATGTTTTGTTAATGAAAAAATGTGCTAAAATATTTAAAAATCAATTGCAGTTCCTTTATCCTTTCCTTTTAATTTGGATACAAAAAAAAATCAATATCATCTATTTGCTTTTTTTCAGATAAAAAAAACAATTGCAAAGAGTGACCTTTTCTTCTTAGAAACACAGTATTCTGTTAGATCATCTATGCTTGTACTGCAGAATATACATATGTGGACGAATTCAGCTTGTTGAGGTACACATGAGATTCTAATAGGCCTTAAAATTGACATTTCTTAGGTTAATGTTAAATAAAATTATTAAAATTAGAGATATATAACTAAATAAAAATTAGGATGGCATCATTTTTTTAACCATTTTTTTAGGAAAATGATACACTCACACGCACTCAAAAAATTACATATGTACAAGTAAAATTTGATCCTATAGTTTTTTTTTAAAAAAAGTAATATCACGTCATTATTTATTCGAAATGGAAATAAAATATTAAAAATAAAATATTTAATATAATAGGATGATTTTTTTTTTAACTTCCACATCAAATAAATGAGACCGTAAATAAAAAAAATACGATAAAAGGATGGTGAATGAAAATATTTAGGAGTCAGAATGAGATCTAAAGAAACGGATTAATATAAATGCCTTCAAATGAAAAGAACATAAATCTCAAAAAAAAAAAAAAAAAAAAAAAAAAAAAACTTATATTTTAAACAAATAACGGTTTTTCCTGAATAAAAAATGAAATCATTACTTTTTTTATAAAATTTTAAACATATTAAATGAGTCAACTCTTTTCTGAATTTTAAGTCATTTAAGAACTGATTGTTCAATGAAAAAAAGTTAAAATAGATCTCTTGTAATTTTGATCTCTTTGAAATTGTATCTTTATGTCAGATTTTATAGAATTCTATCCATTAATTAATAGAGTATATCCAAAAAATATATACGTATTATAGGGAAAAAAATAGCATATCGAAAATTAATTATTTTAAAGTATATCTGTTCAGAAGCCCTCTGAAAAAAACTAATGGATATTTTATTTTGAAAATAATCTAATAGAAGGATGCAATATCTTTTTTTTTATGAAAAAATATATTTTTTAATTTTTTATGGTTATTTTTTATCACTTTAAAATACATATTTTTATTCTTTTAATTTTTCTCTAAAAATTCAAATCATTTTTATTCATTTTTTTGAATATATATATATATATATATATATACACATATATATAATTTATTTAAGGGTTTAAAAATAAGTAAATAAATCAAGGGTTTACATCAATTTGTGCACAATCACGTGACTTCCACATGGTAAAATTCTCTAAATAGTGGACGAAGTCCTACCATATGTGATGGAATGAAATTACAAAAAGTCAATTCTAATTTTTTTAGTTGAGAAAGCGATTTTTAAATGACTTAAAGTTTTTTTAAAAAATAAACCCATTTAACCTTTTAAATATTGATGGATTATTTGAAAATTATAAGTTAGATTAAGATTCTTCTGTATAGAAAAAACATTAGAAATTGTTTTAAATTTTGGAATTAAAACCTTAGATTAAATTGTAAAGAATTATAATGATATATATATTTTTTAACGCATTGCAATGAAATTTTTAATAAAGACAAAAAGACTAACAGACAACGCATGAGATTTAAATCCATTGTCTGAAATGAAGGATGTAATAAGATGGTGTTACAATAAGGTGTCATTCTATAAGGATCTTTCTTTTTAAGAATAAGGTTGGGAATAATAAAAAAGGAGATCATGAATTATAATTAATTCATTCCCTTTAGTTTCACTTTCCTTAAATTTAATAGGTTGACATGAATGTTAAGAAAGCTTGTTCTCAAATCCTGAACTCATAAAAATTTATTATATTTTTTTGAATGCATCAAATTAATATAAAAAATGCATTTTAAAAAATATCCAAAATAAGAATTCATGTCGATTGACTTGTAAATTATTTCCAAAATACTTTTAAACAGTATCGCTTTTGTAGTCTAAATTTCCTTAAAAAAAAAAAACATTTTAATGTTGTTTTTTTAATACTGTGACTATATCCAGCATCAGATGGATTGAGGTATGGCTTGTCCCCAAAAAATCTTTAAAATTAGCCGCATGGATTGAAGAGCCCGAGTCTGAACCCACTCTTAGTTCCAAGGAGAAAAAGATACATTAACGCGGCTTGTAATCCAATAATAGTCATTTATCATAAGAGATTTAAATCCTCACAAATTAGTTTTGTCAATAATTTTGAATGGATGATATATATATATATATATATATATATGACACATCATCAATCCGCAGGGGTTAAAATATCTAGTTGAACCCTCTACTGTTTTGGTTTTGTTAATCCAACCTCTCATCCATTTAATATATTAGTGTGGATCTTCCATCCAAGTCAAACATTAAATTTGACTAAAATCGTAGTATGTCATTTAATTTTTGGGGTCCACTCTTTATAAATAAAGGCAAAATTATTTTTGTACAAAATTCTAATAATACATAAATATGAAATCTTTTTTTTTCTGAATTATTAAGAATAGGTTGTAAGAAATTAA